CTTTACCTATATAATCAATTTATATGTATGGATAATACTGGTGTTCTACCTCAAGGAATTTATTTGTAAATTAATCGCAATCATTTTTGCATGTATTTGAAGTTACACCTTTGTGAAAATTAATTAAAACAGTGGCTTTAATGTCCTTTCTTTCACCATACGGTCAGTTTTAGACACATTGGAGTGACGGGGTGAAATCGATTTCTATTTTTTCCTCAGCTTAGGTCATTTATGTTATGCAGTGATGTGCAGTAATATGAATCTATTTTCGGGGCATATGAAGAAGTTTGTTTATGGACTTGAAAAATATTGCGTCATCTGTGATTGCATCAGATTTTCATCATGTCCACGCTACTATCTCGACTGTCGATTAGTTATCCTACGACTATTGTCTGCGATGGACGTTACTTCAAGGAAGCGTCCGGAAATTATAACGTTGCACGAACACAATGGCAAGCCTTAACAGTGCTAGGGCTCTAGCACTAATAAGATATACATTGGGTCCACGAAGAATGATTTTAAAGATAGATGGAGGCAGCATAAGTGTTCTTTTAATAATATTAACAAAAGAAATCAGACTTCCCTATCTAAATATTTTTGGCATTTGAAGGAAACAAATAGGACACCTAAAGTTAAATGGAAAATTATTAACAAGGCTAGAACATATAAAACCTGGGATGACCCATGCCCTTTATGCCTCCATGAGAAATTGCACATAATTAAGCTTCTAAATAATAATAATCTATTAAACAATAGACACGAGTTAACGTTTTTTTGTAGGCATCATCAGATTTTTGGTTTGAACTATTAGCTAAAAACTAACATACAATATAATAACTTGTTTAATCCATAGCCCACTCATCAGATTCATGATTTGAATAATTAAGTAAAAACATGCATACAATATAACACCCTTCATAATCCATAGCCGAAATAAATAGTTTAAATACCTAAAAAAAAAAAAAAAAGATAACCCTTTATGAAGTCGTCAAAAACAAACGTTACGACAGTTTTGTTTTTTTTTTATATGCACAAATCGCTTTCATAAAAAAATAAAAAAAAAAATAAATAAATCTCCATAGACATGCAAACTAGACGAGGGTTAATACATCTTCCGTTTCAAATTTAGACACCCCCACCTTTCACTGACTTGACATCTACGAAAGTAACTCTATACTGATACTTATTATTAACACCCAACACCCGCCTACCCAACTTAAACAATTCGCCTTAGCTGTTACCATGGAAATTTTGATTTCAATTTTTAAAACACGTAAATTTCAGAAACACGTTATTCCAAAAAAAAATTTCGCTTGAAGATGGAACAGAGCTTATTCTAACTCAATTTAATTTAAATAATTTAAATAATTTAAATAATTATATTAAAGTTTTCGGCTCTTGTTTTTGAAACATGGGACTTCTTATGTCGCGATTTGGAATCATATTTTAAATAAATAATTATATTTATGCTCTACTTTTGTATCGAGCACTATTTTTAAAAATAATAACTAAAATACTAAGGAACTTTGGATTATTTACCTAACCAGTTCCTTCCTATTTTCTATATTTTCTATATATATATATATATATATATATATATATATATATATATATATATATATATATATATATATATATTATATATATATATATATATATATATATATATATATATATATATATATTATATATATATATATATATATATATATATATATATATATATATATATATATATATATATATATATATATATATATATATATATATATATATATATTCATAATATATATATATATATATATATATATATATATATATAATATATATATAGGCACTTCTGAGGTCACGCAACATTAATTTTCCGTTATTTATCAGTTGGAAAATCTGTTAATTTATTTTTTTAAATGACGCTCACTGTCACCTCTTTCTCATTTTACCTTTTTTTTTTTTTGCAAAGAATGACTCAGTCGAAAATGTCATAAAACAGATAGATATGATTAAATTTGATGCCAGATTTATATTTCTTTGTCTAGCAACTTTTAGAACAAGCATAACCATGTACCATTACAAAATCTTAGCAACTAGGCCGTAGAAATTAATAAAGCATTTTTTTTTGTTAAATTCCTTTTATTATAAGTATGATGAAAAAATATATAGTTTTAAGGTAAACTTTACCTTTGCGGGTAAAAGTGCTCAATATCATGAATAGTCCGCATGTATATATAAGAGTGAACACTGAGGGTCAACATTGAGTGACAGCAGACTCTTTCATACTTAATGACCGGAAGATAGCCTTCAAGCATCTAACAGATTGTCACCACACGATGTTGACCTCCTCAGTGTCCACTCATATATATATATATATATATATATATATATATGTGTGTGTGTGTGTGTGTGTGTGTGTGTGTCTGAATATATTGATAAAATAGGAAAGGACCGTTAGATTGATGATCCGAAGTTCTTTAGTATTTTTGTTTTTACTTTTTAAAAACAATGTTCAATACGCAAGTAGAACTTAGATTATAATATTTTTAAAAAAATATGATTCCATCGCTACACAGGAATTACCACGTTTCAAAAACAGAAGCTAAAACTTCCAATTCATTTATGGAAATTAAATTAAAATACCTAGTTCTCTTTCATTTTCAAGGGATTTTTTGAATATTTGGAAGGTTTTAGCTTGTTTTTGAAGCATGGTAATTCCTGTGTAGCGAAGGAATCATATTTCTTTGAAAAAAAGTAATTATAATATTATATCTGTATCTATAAATGGCATTCTGTTAGTGTGTCTGTGTGTTTGTCAATTTGTTACCTCATCCTGAGCAAACCGTTCGTCCGATTGGCATGAAGATTCACACATAGATCGGAAATTTACGGCATTCGTACTTGACGTCTTCGGATTTTTCGACCTTTTTCTTCAATACTGGTATCAATTATCGGAAAAAAATCGATAAAATCATGTCACTTTTGACTTCCAATTCAAATCCAGTCAAACTGACTTTTGACGATATTTTTCGCAAATAGCGAAGAATTTCCACCAAAATTACGTTGAGCATTGTTTTTATCAACAGTTATGAGGTACTGACATTCATTTTTAATATCGATATCAATTACTGGAAAAAATCAATACAATCGATCACTTTGGGACATCCGATTCAAGTTCAGTCTAGCTGAGTTTTGGCTATATTTTTCGCAAATGGTGAAGAACTTTCAGCAAAATTCCTGTTGAGCTTAGTATTTACCGACAGTATTAAGGTGCTGACTTTCGTTTTCAATATCGGTTTCAATTATCGGATAAAAATCGATAAAATCATACCCCTTTTGACTTCCCATTCAAATCGAGTTTACCTGAATTTGGCGATGTTTTTCGCAACTTGCTTGAGATTTTCATTAACTCCATCGGCTTTAGTCGTGACAAAAACTTTTGCCCTGTGAGCTCCTTTGTGATCAACTAATACCTGAGGGAAGTCGATACAATCCTGTCTTCATCGGAATTTGCGAATACACCAATCAAACGTATGTTAAACTGAGACGTCTACACTACAGACTCTACAGCTGATTGTTATTCACACACGCGTGATTATGCTTCACATAGCGGTATCTCATTGGCTGAGTGCAGTACGCAGTCACTGACTGGTGTTCGAGGCCCTAGGACGCTCACTGATAGGCACAACCGATTGGTCGATAATACTTCGCATTTGAACCTGCTGTGCACAGCTGTGGGGCGAAGGTCTCACTTCTGCTCCTGTTTCGCCGCTATCTGGTTGATATGATAGGCTCCTTCAACTGATCCTTCCTCCTACCGCAAGTTTGTCTGTTTAACTACATTTTTTCAACTACCATAAACAATTTATTCAGCTGTTTTACTTAAATACACGTCTTCCCGTTTCTGGCTCACGCTTTGCAATACTAAGTTAGACTTTGTACTCTTGCAATTAAGCAACCCTAATCAACCACTATTAGTAACACTTTTGCCCATGCCGCCAAAAAGGAGGGTACGTCTTAGCATTCGGTCTGCAAGAGCGGCTGCTATGAGGGCAAGAAGAGCCCATGAGTCCCAGGAGCAGACTACAATGCGACTATCACAAGTCACTCAACGCAGCGCCCTCACGCAGGCCTTGCAGTCACAAGAGGAGCGTGCCACCTACTTGGCTGGGAAAACTGCCTAGAGGGCTTCGTTGCGATCAAGGCTCAAGAATGCATAACGATCGAGAATGAACGCACAGGCTGCAGCAACCGCCTCTGCATCTCGGGCTTCCGAGACTTATCATCAAAGGCTTCTTCGTAACGTATGAAACGCTGCCACCACTGCCAGGTCGAGGGCAGTAGACACATCTGCCCGCAGGCGTGCCCGTCAATCCAGTGACGCTGCTGCAACAGCGACCGCTAGTGCTGCTGAGACACTGATCCGTAGGTCTGTTCGAAATGCTAGGAATGCTGGCACCGCTGTCGAGGGCAGCTGAAGCATTTGACCGCCGGCGTGCTTGTCAATCCCGGGAAGGCTGCTGCAACAGCGGCTGGTAGGACTGCTAAGACACTGCTCCCTAGATCTGGTCAAAATGCTAGGAATGCTGCCACCACTGCCAGGTCGAGGGCAGCTGAAACATTTGACCGCAGGCGCGCCCGTCAACGGCGACATTCAGCACCTTGAGGCCGCCCGTGATATTACTTGTCCCAGGAGCTCTTTTTGTTCTTTCTTGGCTTTCAATTACTACCATGACATTAACTTAACTACGCGAGACGACATCAATGTAGGGTCCATGATCTACGTTTGACAATTCTGCAACGCCCGCAAATGGGTCGGGGAGCCAGCTGGTCTGTGCTGTTCCTCAAGCAAAGTTCGATTGTCACCTCTGCATGAACCACCTACCCTGTTGAGGGTACTAATAGTCGGCTCCCATCCCGACTCCTACCACTTCCTTAAAACAATTAGGCAATACAACAACTTTCAAATGACCTCTGTCGGGGCTCAGGTGGTTCGAGAAGAGGGTTGGATGCTCAGTTTCAAAGTACAGGTATACCACCGCATTGGGTCTCTGCTGCCTGAGGAGACCTCTACGCCTATATTCCTTCAACTGTACTTTATTGCAGACTACAACCTACAGGCCGAAACCCGTATTGGTATTTTGCCGCCGTCGCGAAGAGTTCCTCGCAGAGACAGCATACTACTTCTCAAGGCCATGCTTCACGGGGTTAACAGCTACATTCACAGTTTCAAATATGCTTTGGAAAATACTCCCTTTCCTTCTTTCAGCTTTGTAACTGACGCCAACAAACGGCCTCATGATGAATACGAACACCGCTACAATGTTCCTGCGTGCAACAAAGTGGCAGCTATTATACATGGGGAGCAAGACCGCACTCGCGATATTGTCCTCAAATCAAGAGGCGGCGATCTTCGCCGGATTTCAGAGGCACATCAATCATATGACGCATTGCAGTACCCTTTACTTTTCCCTTATGGTGACGATGGCTACCACTTCGGCATTCCCCTTCATACTCCGGGTGACTAACCTACAACCTTTTCCAATACCTTATCGTGCAGGGCCTTCTACACATACCGTTTCTTGGTTAGGGATGGAGACTTCAACCTGCTTCATAGATGCAAGGAGCTTTTCCACCAGTTTGCGGTTGACATGGCTGCTAAGATGGAATCGGAGAAGCTTTGTTTTATACGGAATCATCAGAAACAGCTGAGCTCAGACTCCTACGTACACTTACGCGACAGCCTTCGAAATGAAATCACTCCCCGCGACCTAGGGAAGCTGTACATTCTGCTCTTTACCTACACTAGGGGGTGCGTTACATGCATGAATGCATGCAGGACGCTATGACATACGTTAGGCAATATGGGCGGCCAGACTTATTTATAACGTTTACCTGCAACCCCAAATGGGTTGAGATAACGCATGAACTCCTACCCGGATAGGATTACACTCACAGGCATGACATTACCGCCCGCGTATTCCGCTTAAAACTGGGAAAACTTATTGACTTAATTGTGAAGGTGCGAGTCCTACAGTGAAAACGCAACCACTATTTTACATTGCCAAAATTAAAAATCTTGACTGATTATGAACGGGCGGCAGTCTTCGGGTAAGCACGGAGCAGCAACACAGCAGCCACCTATTGCCACCGGTTGCCCTTGATCTCATTGATTTTGCTACCAGTGAGATTTCCGGTCTATCAGTGACCCCCAACAACTGCGGATACGTGCGTAAGTTCAATAATTCAAACCCCAAAGCAATTTAACTACATAAACCCCCGAGCAACACAGGGCTTTACTGCTAGTATAAAATAAACACACACACACACACACACAGACTTCGCCTAATATATATTGAAACTATTATCAACTTATATGATTAAAATATATTTTTATTGATATTTGTGGTTTTGGAATTTTCGTTTTAATATATTAAATAATATTATTTTTAACCATTTTTATCTTTGTATATTTGCTCCCTTAAGTTATAATTTAATAAGTGGTTAGCATTTATTTAATGATACTTTAAGTTTTAAATATTTATTGGTTGTGGTATCTGATTGTCTAGGTCATTGTCTGTGGATGTGTGTACATGTATTTATCGGTGTCTATGTGTATATAGAGTACATTCACATTTAATTGTGTGTGTGTATAGGTGTTGGTTTCCCCGTTTCCTTTTTTCATAAAGGGCTGTAGAGATGTTCCTGTCTCGTCGCTTTTTGTGTGTGTATATATATATATCTAAATATGTCTGGGTGCTTATGTATTATAATCTGATTGTGTTTTTGTTGTTTTGCGCGTGAGTTTAAGACCACATTCACACACTTTAGAATAAAAAAAATATATATACATGTATTGTCAAATGACCGGATATATTGTAGCGTCTTGTCGAACGTAATTTCAACGAAGAAATAAAGTGAATAACAGATGTATTTTTTCTTTTCTCAATAATTTTGTAGTTTTTAAACTTAATAGTGATTAAATTTGGATTTTAAAATTGGCAGTTTTTAATTTTAATATTAAATTTTATCATATAATTTTATATTTATTGGTTAGTATAAATTATTTTTAATATTACCCGTATTTTAAAGATCTGAATAGCTATTATAACATGATTTTGTTGTCAAGCTTTTGAATCTTTCTATACTTGGTTTTTGATTGGTTATTCTAGCTTTTGTAACAATGTTTCCTCCTAGTGTAGGATCGTTAATTAATTTGAAACTTTTAAAACCATTTATTTTATCTTCAACATCATCACTTGATAAAACACCGAGGTTGTTGAAACAAAATGGCTATTTTTGTAGTGATTTTATAACATACTTATAATTTTTAAATAATAATTATATATATATATATATATATTCAGACATGTATTGTTATATAAAAGAGACAAAGAATATATATGTCTTATTATGAGCCGTTCGAAGCTTCGTATATTGGCTTTAATTTCAGGAGAAAATACAGAGAGACGCTGTTCAACGTTTGAATATGTCTTTATTGCGTTGTTCTAAGACATCATCAGAGCGGTTGTTTGGACACTACGACAGGGATATTCACCGTCAAAGATGACATCCTGTTTTATTTACATAGATGTTTGCTATGCGACGATAACGGAATAGTAGACGCTGGTCGTAAATTTATAATGCTGATCTATGACGCCTTACATGACTACGTAAGAAAGAAATGTTATCAACAGAACAATGTTTTGGAATGCATTTTTGGAATATATTATGACTGGTTTGAAATGTAATTTGTTGAGTGTGTGTCACTTTTTTTTAAAATGTAGATAACCTCCAATATCTTAAGATGATTTTTGCCTGAGTATGTACAAGTATTATTGTGTTATCAATTAATATCTGCTTAATATCATGTACGTGACTATGTTTTTCTAAGAAATGTTGTTTAAAGGAATCTGAGATCAGAAAGGTGACAGGTGCGTCTAGAGGTGAGGGTCGTTGTAATAAAACCAATATATGTAGTGTCATGTATGTGTGTGTACATATATATATATATATATATATATATATATATATATATATATAAAGATATGTTTAATGGTACAAAACTTTATCACTGCCATAAACAGACAAAAGTTAATTTTATTATTACCATTCATGATGATAATAAAAAGTAAAAATGAAAAACAGGTGAGCTAAACCGGTTTCGAACCTCGCTCAACGACCTACCCCAAAATGCAGACTCTTAACTTAGACAAAATGTGAACAAAAATTATATTATAAGAAATGAACTCATAAATAGGGATAATTTCAGGTCAAAATCAACAGGAAAAAAGAAGATAAGCAACGGACTATGTCTCTAACATAAGAGATATTCCTAACTATGCACTCATCCAAGTTTATAGGACACCCTGCAAGCAAAAGAATGCGTTCAACAACGTTTATAAGGCACATTCCAAACAAAGCAATGCATTCACCAATGTTTATAAGACTATCTTAGCAAAGAAAGGCATTTTGCAAACTATATACGGTACATTTGTAGCAAAGGAATGCATTCGACGAAAATTAGAAGTCTCTCGCCTAACAGAGGCATGCATTCACCAATGTTTATAGGGTTCTCTCCAATCAAAATAATGCATTTACTCAAGATTACAAGGATTTCTCTAAGGCAAGGAATTCATACCCCAAAGTTTATAAGGCACTATCTTATCAAATGAATAAGACACTCTGCTAGCAAAGAAATGCATTCACCCAAATATATGAGTCTCTCTCAAATAAAGGAATGCATACCCCCCTACTCTTCTAGCAAAGGAAGACATTGACCCAAGTTTATAAGGCACTCACTCAGCAAAGGCCTTATATATTTAGCCGAGTATATAAGGCACTCTCCAACGAAGAAATGCATTCACTATAGTTTATAAGGGTCTCTACATACAATGATATGTATTTACTAAAGATTATAAGATAGTCTCCGAGCAAAGATATGCATTCACCCAAGTTTATAAGTCTCTGGTCAATCAAAGGCATGCATTCACCCAAGATTATAGGGCCTAGCATAGGATTGCATTCACCCAACTATATACGAATATATGAATTCAACGAAGTTTATAGACACTTGCGTAGCGAAGAAATGTATGCATCCAACATTATAAGGTTCTCTCGAAGCAAAGGGATGCATTCACCCTTCTGTATAAGGCTTCCGCCAAGTAAAGAATGCATTCACCTAAGTCTATAAGGGTCACTCCAAGCATTCAATCAAGTTTATAAGCCTCTCTCCACACAATGAATACTTTCGCCTATGTTGATATAAAAGATATATATATCCATCCATTACAAAATATATATTAAGTAATGCTCTCTCCTAACAAAGAGATGCACAAAAGACGGAACAGTTCAATTAAATATTATGAAACACTGTCGAAGATGACTTCTATTCGATAATGAATATTATATTTTGGGAGTGGAACACAGAAAATATTGCATGTAAACATAAGAATCTTTGAAGAAGGGAAAGTCGGCGAACTGGTCGGAATAGATATTCTAAAAACATAGGATTATTGAAAAAAAAGATAATAATGTAGGATCGTATAGAGACATCGGGCCAATAATACTAAGAATTTATTAAGCAGACCCCCCCCCATAAAATCAGGAACCTTAGAAATGTTCAAAGAAATAGCATTCGAAATCGGTATTGAAGCAATCCAAAAAGTGGTAGATTTCATACACGTAGCTTCATATCTCCACCAAGGTTTATATCAATCGTTCAGAAAACCAAACGACAATCCATTATACATCCTCTCATCCACCAACCCTGCAATATAAGTTATTATAATCCACAATTTATAAGCTAAAGATTTTTTTTAACAAATCATCAAAAGAAACATTTTCAATGAAGCTAAAAATGAACAGGAAATGATATTTAATGTTAAAAGCTGGAATAAAATAAAATTCGAGGCCAATTTTATTAATTTGAAGCTCTCTCTCTCTCTCTCTCTCTCTCTCTCTCTCTCTCTCTGGATCAGCATCGCCTCGACTGTCTACTATCTGCTTCACAACCAAATAGCGACACCTAGCTCAACTCAGTGCCCTCTTCATCTACCGGTAGCCTTCTAGATGATGAGTGCATGCCAGTCGGTGTCGTGATCCTTCTTGGGCTCAAATTATATAACCGTCACAGATGCGGAGCTTCCATTGATGAATTTGGTTTGCATGCTCTCTCCTGTCGTCGTAGTGCAGGCCGCTTTCCAAGGCATGCAAAAATAAACGACATCATCAAAAGAGGTCTGGATGCAGCTGGGTTCCCTTCTCAAATCGAATCTTTAGGCCTAGACCGTTGTGATGGAAAGCGGCCGGATCGGATTATCATTTTACCTTTTAAAATAGGAAGTCGTTGATTTGGGATGCGATTTGTGCCGATACATTTTCGGAGGTTGGCGGGATTGCGTCTCGTTTAAGGGACGAGCCTCGCGAAATGCAGTGGCTCTTGCAGCGTGTCTCACTGGCGATGGTGCGAGGTAATGCTTTCTCCATCATTGCGGCTAGAAGAGGATAGCAAAAAAAATGTTTTTCTTTATAGATATTTTGTTTACTTAATGGTAATGCTTAAGTACATTGAATATACGCTCTTTCGCGCTAAAAGATGTCGTCAATGATCTTCTGATTTGGATTATTGGGCAGTTTCGGGCCTTCCAAACATCACACTGCCCTCACCAAGTCGACCCCATCAGAGCTGATCAGCCTCTGATCCGCCCTCTAAATTAACTGTAAATTAAAAGCCTGCAGATACTAACGTATATAAGGCAAACCATACCTCGCTATCAGGCATTTGATTGGAGGTTGACCAACAGCCAATCACATTGGTGTGAGCTCTCTTTAAATTCTTTATGGAGGATTTTTTTCTTTTTTTTAAGCTGCGTGGATACCCTATCATTGAATACTCGGAAGGTAATTATATGTCTTCTCGATCGTAAAATCCTTCCTAACATTCCTCAAGATAGTTATAAATGGTCGGTACTCCGAAGCCCGAGTGGCAACGCAGACGTCCCCTTGGGGTCACTCCTCGGATCAACACTCTTTTTGATTTATATAAACTATCTGCTTAAGTACAGTGAATATATGCTCTTTAGCGCTAAAGGGCGTCGTCAGTGATCTTCTGATTTGGATTATTGGGCAGTTTCGGGCCTTCCAAACATCATACTGCCCTCACCAAGTCGATCACATAAGAGCTGATCAGTCTCTGATCTACCCTCTAAATTAACTGTAAATTAACAGTCTGCAGACACTAACGTATCTAAGGCAAACCATACCCCTCTATCAGGTATCTGATTGGAGGTTGACCAACAGCTCTATTTGAATTGTTTACGGGGGATTTTTTCTTTTTTTTTTTTTTAAAGTTGTGTGAATACCCTATCATTGGATACTCGGAAGGTAATTATATGTTTTCCTTTTTTTTCTTTCTTTTTTTCCTCCCCACATCTCTCATCAAGTTTTAACTCGCCAGCTAATAGTTACTGTTATTAAAAAAATGTTCAGCCATAAAATAACTAAAAATTTACATTGTTTATATACTCAAATCATTTGTAAACATCTATGCCGATGATACGATAATACACGGGTACACTTCTTTAACACTTGATGGTCAGAGATTGGCAAGGAATCTTCTTCAGATCTAACAAAAACTACAATGTGTGGGAAAAACTGACTGGTTCCATTCAATGCCTTGAAATCCAAACTAGTTTCTTTCCGTCATCGCTGATCAGACTCCGAACTACTACACTCATCTCAGTCACTTGCAGTAGCAGGATAAAACTTTTAATCTATCAACGGGTGTGTCTACTTACATTTATACCTTGGTCAGCTTATGAATATTCTAACCGATCTTCGAACCTGTTAGGTATGATTTGCTATTTAAAAAAACTATGGAAGGAATTCCATATAAACCCTCGATACCAACCCTTTTCAAAGGCGTCAACGTGACGACATTATTGTTATATATGTGAAATTTGCAGCCGACTCTCGTAAGCTAATTTCCCGCCCTTGTTCGTGTACTTATATTGCGGGAAGCTGCGCTAGCAGCATGTGACTAACATGACCATATTAATAGATAATGGTTAATGTAGAAATCTTATTTGCATCGTCAGCTTTATAAAAGAAATTAAAAAATGAAAGTTTTATGCTATTCATTTCAATTTGTTTTTTCTTGTCATTATAAGGCAATCGATTTTTTCTCAATGGATTTCCTAATTAAGTTATTTTCATCAGCAAATGAAGACAAGTCTGTAGTAACGACTTGGAAATTTCTATCAAAGATTAAAAGTTAAGGAAAGAAATCTCTGTATAAAAGGAATTAAAAAAACGTTGATGTTTAAAAAATATATTTTGGAAGACTATCAAGTCGAAATTTTCGTTTCTCTAAATGTTTTGTTCAAAGATATATATAAACAGGTTACGTTAGGTAAAATGGAATACACTAACATCTATAATCAAATACATACGAACGGATTAACATATATATGATTAGGTTATTTTGAAACAAACAAAAACAGATAGAGAGATATGAACAGATAGACATCAGAATAGACGATATATATATATATATATATATATATATATATATATATATATATATATATATATATATATTTGGTTGGATTGATGTGAGTTTGTGACCTGGCTTTCACGCGATAGTCAGACATATGTTACCTCTATGTTACTGATATTGAGCGCTGTAATAAATACTGCGCATATAATATATAAATAAATATATATATATATATATATATATATATATATATATATATATATATATATATATATAGGTTTATATTTATATACGGACACTTTTCACACACACACAACACACACACACACACATATATATATATATATATATATATTATAAAATGGACAAAGTCCGACAATTATTTTATGACATTTTTATGTTTACACATTCTTTTTTATAGATACAAGTATTTAAGCAAATGCTCTGTTTATAATAAAAATAGACAGTATTAACAACATTTACCGGCTTGTGGCGAAATCGGTAAAAGCTCGTCAGAGGAGATGACAGTTCCGTATAGGATACAGGTTCGATTCCTGTCGGAGGACGCGTATTTTCTATGAAAATTTCTCGGACATTCAGGCAGGTAAATGTCGTTAATACTGTTTATTATAAACAGAGCATTTACTTAAATATTTGTATCTATAAAAAAAAAGAATGTATAGACGTAAAAATATCTTCAAAAATAATTGCTGGACTTTGTCCATTTCATAATGTGTGACGTCATATGTTTATATTTGGATGCGCATCGAGCAGATATGAATGTACGTGAGAGAATCATGGAAGATTGTCGATTAAAAACAGTTAAATCGACCTTGCTGACCGAAACGTTAACCTGTAGCGAAATCGGTAAAAGAATGTCAGTTCCGTATAGGATAGAGTTTCGATTCCTGTCGGAGGACGCATATGTTCTATGACAATTTCTCAGACATTAAGGCCGGTAAATGTTATTAATACTGTTTATGATAAACAGAGCATTTACTTAAATATTTGTTTCTATGAAACAGAATATACACATAAAAATATCTTAATATATATATTGGGTACGATCGATAAATTGTCTTCTAAATTACGCAAAAATGAAAATAGGCACACTTGATTGAAAGACCAACAAAACTCCTTGTAACACCAAAGATGAACTGAAGGCAAGGATTATGGCAGCATTCACCAACTTAAACAAGGAGACCATCCAAAAGAGTTGCAGGAGATTCCAAAGTCATCTGGCGGCCGTGGTCGAAGCCAACGGCGATTTTATTGAATAAATTTACTCTTTATTATTTCAAGATATGTGTAATTTTTGATGAATATATCTTTTAAAATTAGTTTTCATTTTTGCTCAATTTAGACGGCAATTTAGCCATCACTCTCTCTGTCTCTCTCTCTGTGTCTTTCTCTCGATATATATATATATATATATATATATATATATATATATATATATATATATATATATATATATATATATATATATAGTATCAAACGTAAACAAAATAATTTTCTAAAGCAATGGATTTTTATTTAACAATGCGACTGACTAATTATCCGTAGATGGAAAAGGTTTGTAATTTGTTGATATTTTTTCTTTATTCTTCAGAATCGTGTGGGTAAAATAATAATCGAGAGAAGGAAAAGGCCGAAAGCGAAAGAATGCCTAAAAGAGAAAGAGTTGATTAAAAAAATCGACAATTAGAAAGAAAGATTTCTTTCCGTACTGTCCACACATCAATGTCACCGCATTCATCGGGAAATGCTGAACTTGTTGGTCAATTTCTGTATCGATGAGGTCGCTCAGAACAAGACAAACCTGTTGTATCAGGACTCTACTCAATCCCCATATGGTTTAGCTGATTCAGATTGATTAGATATTATTTTTCACGATCATCTTGCAATTAAATAATCTGATTTGTATTCTCTGAACGAAGCCTCCAGGGTATGGTGCGTCAGTTGAAAGACTAAAGAGCAACAGAACAATACCAAGAACTGGTCCTTGGCAGCCACCGTAAACTTGATGACCATCATTAAAAAGAATTCCCCGGCCATGCTTCCAGCCCATACTTTAGTGAAAATTCAGTTTTATTGTACAGTATTTATATTAGTCGGACTATTGTCCTCATCTTTGTCGCCATATTTGTCACAACGTTTCGGCCGTTGTACGCTCCGGCCTTCTTCAGGTGGTTGGAATTTCGAACTGAACCCTTTATTTCGATCACTGGGGTAGACTGTTCTAGTTCCGCGTGCCATGTTTGATGGATGTCAGTTATCTGTTATCTCCTGCTAATTTTCCCTCTGAAAGTTCTCCATTGCCTTAAACAGGTATTGAACTCACCTTCTTTGGGTCTATCACTGGATCTAACCAACGCCTTTATCCACTGTGTCATGTGTCCTTGGTTAGATCCAGTGACAGACCCAAAGAACCAACAACTTTTACACATATATATATATATATATATATATATATATATATATATAAAGAGCGGTGGCCTGACGATTGCATATAGCATGAAACAGACTGTC